GACCAGAGCTGAATAGAAAATTTGAATTTCAAATACAAGATTCAAGTGAAACATGAAGGAGGAACACCAAAATCACTGCAAAGGATTTGGCATTATGATGCATATAGGAAAAACCACCTAGGTAAAGAATGTTTATTAGTATGACAGTGGGTTAAATGGGCAGTCCATAGATCCAGTTCATCAGTACATATCTCTTTAATGGATGCTGCACTTGGACAATGAACTAGGTCCAAAATTGAATGAGGGGAAAAAAATGGTCTAGATCGCACTTGGAAAATTGCCTGTCAGTTTCAATTACCTCATTACACTCAGGGACAAAATCCTAACTCTTTAATACCAATTTTCCTGGTATTAAAGCCTGGTAAAACCACACGGCTACAAATAATGGAACATAATAAACTCTTGGCAGAAGAATAGCTAAAACTTCAGGTTACTCAACTGACAGTGTAAAGATGAATTGTGGGCATTTGAAAATATGCTCAAAGAAATGAATGATTAGAAGAATAAATTAATCTATCACCAAAAATGAGCAAGGGATAACAAAGAAACACCCCCATGAAGCATTGGAACCCAGACAATGTCAAGATAATGCCACAACATATTGAGTGGATCCCTTGTAGGGAACTTATAGAGGGCCGCACATGGACAAAAACTGAAAAGCATAAGAAGGCTTGGATAGGTTGTACAGAAAGTGCTCTCATCAATGAGATCATGAAACAGTTGAAATGCTGATAGTGAAAGTTTTCTTCTAAAAAGAAAAAAGTCTCTGGAATCTTTAGAATGCAAACTCTGATATATGTATTTATAAGAAAAAAAAAAGTTACAAGTGTCATCTTCCCTTGTAGGGATGTAAACAGTTTGCCCTTATTTATAACATGTTGTTTCTTTCTGTCCCATTTACCTTTTTATGTCTCTCTTGAGTCTTGTATTTGATAATCAAATTTTCTGTTGAGCTCTGGTCTTTTTATCAGGAAGGTTTAGAAGTCCCCTATTTCGTTGAATATCCATCTCCTCCCCTGAAAGATTGTACTTATTTTCGTTGGGTAGTTGATCCTTGGTTGTAAACCAAGCTCCTTTGACTTACGGAATATCATATTCCACGCCCTGTGATCTTTTAATGTAGCAGCTGCAAGGTCCTATGTAATCCTGACTGTGGTTCTATGATGTTTGAATTGTTTCTTTCTGTCTGCTTGCAATATTTGCTCTTTGACCTGGTAATTTTGGAATTTGGCTACCATATTCCTTGGTGTTTTCAATTTGAGATCTCTTTCAGGAGGTGATTGGTGTATTCTTTCTATGGCTATTTTACCCTCTGGTTCTAGGACCTCAGGACAGTTTTCTTTTATGATTTCCTGAAAGATACTGTGCAGGCTCTTTTTTTCATCATGATTTTCAGGGAGACCAATAATTTTTAAATTGTCTCTGCTGGATCAGTTTTCCAGGTCAGTTGTTTTACCAGTGAATATTTACATTTTCATCTACTTTTTCATTCTTTTGTTTTTGTTTGACTGATTCTTGCTCTCTCATAGAGTCATTAGCTTCCATTTGTCCAGTTCTAATTTTTAACAAATTGTTTTCTTCTATTAGATTTTGCACCTCCTTCTCCATTTGGTCAATTGTATTTTTTAAGGACTTTTTTTCTACAGTTAATTTTTGTTCTTCCTTTTCCCTACCTCTCATTTCTTTTCCCATTTTTTTCTTCTTCCTCTCCCATTTGACTTTTAAAATCCTTCTTGAGCTCTTCTAAGAAGGCTTTTTGGGCTTCAGACCAGTTCATATTCCCTTTTGAGGTTCCAGATATGGGTTTGTTGACAATGTTGTCCTCTTCAGAATTTCTGCCTTGATCTTCACTGTTCCCATAGTAAGAATCTATCATATGTTTCTTTTTGCTCATTGTGTTTGTTTATTTCCTGGCCTTTGAAGAGATTGAGCTCTTCTGCTAGGGAGCAGAGGGCACTGACCCAAGCGTCTTGTGTTTGGAACCCAGGGCCTGGTCACTCACTGGCTTTGTGTCCTGGGGCCTGTAATGCTGGCAGTTGGAGGCTGTAGGGTTCTGGCAGTTTACCTGGTGTTGGGCTGGAATCAGCAACACTGGCACTCTAGGGGTAGAATTGGCTAGTCTGGCCCCTGGAGGTTGCCTGCTTTTCCTTTCCTTTTGCTTTCCTCAGCTGCTTTTAGATGGGTGTTGCAGGATGTTTTTCTGCCTGAGGTTCCTTGGAGCATTGTTTCCCTTAGTTTTGGTGACGCACTGGGAGAACCAGTTGCTATAGAATGCTGAGGCACCTGGGGGTTTTCCAAGCTGCTTTCCACCTGTCCCCCCTCCCTCACTGAGGCACTTAGGGGTCCAGGTATTGGTGTTTGCGTGCTCCACCACCTGGGTTTCAGGATCTCCTCCTGGTATGCTGAGATGGAGCTTTCCGCTAGCTTGCTGGGATGCCTCCCATTTGGTACTGCTCCCCTTTCCGCAGGGCAATAGGGGCCTTTCTTGTTAATTCCTCAATCTACCTTGGCTTCTAGACTGCTGCACCCCATCTTTCTTCTGGTTCAGCTGTTCTAGGGTTTTTCCTGGGGTGGTATTTATCTGGGCTTTCAGAGGTTAATAAGGGAGGGTAAGAGCGACTTACTTTTTACTCTGCCATGTTGGCTCCCAGAAGCAGAAGTCTGCTGCTGTTTTCAGAGCTAGTTCTAGGGGTTTGCAAATTTTCAGTGCTTCCAAGGTGATATGATCTTTGGAGAATTGTGGCCATTGCTGTCATGGTCTGCACTCTTGTCTCTACCTAGGAAGGGCCCCTGCTTCCCTGCAGCTGCAAGCACTAGCCCTCCTCATGGCCCTGGGATTGTGACCATGATCCCAACTCTCCTGTAACCACAAGCTCTAGTGTTCCTCTTGGCCTTTGAATTGTGACTAGGTCCCCTGCTTGCTGTAGCCACCAGTGCTAATGCAGTTGTCTGCCTTGAAACTTCAAGCAGTGGCCCTGTTCCCTTGTGACAGACTACAAGCACTCCTCTTTGCCCTGGAACCGTGACCCAGAACTCCAAATGAGCAATAGAGTTGCCAGTCAGCACCAGCAGCACCCAGAGCCAGCAAAGGGTCTCTTGTAATTTCTTTTGAATAGGTTTCTTACTCCATTATGTTCTCAGCCCCCAAACTTATTGCTGTGCTTTTGCCACATTCTGTAAGGCCTAAAGTGTTTCCTGCCACCTATGCTCCAGGCTAGCCCCAACCCTGATGTCACAGACTTCTCTTGCCAACCTCCCAGGTTGTCTTAGGCTGGAAAAATCTCTCCCTTTGATCATTTGTTGTCTGTGCTGCTCCAAAATTTGATTTGAGGTGTTATTTTAAAATCATTTGGAAGGGAATGTTCGAATAATTCAGCTGCCTCTACTCTGCCATTTTGGCTTTCTTTCTTAAGTGTTTAATAAATACTTGTTGACAAGGGGGAAGAAAACTTATGCTTATGTCACATACTATATATCACAAAATATATTCCTCAGTTAGAGTGTGCATGTAAGTATATAAAATGTTAATCTGGAAACTCTGGGGAACTAGGTCCATAGTTTCTTTTTTAGCTTGTATCTCATCCTTGCCACTTCTTAGAGACTCCAATTTTACCATGAATTGGAGTCACTTGTATGATATAATATCCAATCCCTTAACTTTTTTTCTATGATATTTTTCTTACAGTTAACCAGATTTTTCACAAATGCTGAATCTGCTCTCTAGGGTTTTGATGGAGTCTATATGTTTGTTGTTTGAGCTGATTCATAGAATCGCATATTTGGAAAGGAGAAAAGATATCTCTTTCATTTTGCTCAAAGTCATATATGTAGTAGAGCTAATCTTCAAACCATGCTGCTTCTCTCTTTCCCTCCCCCTCCCCCTCATACACATACACACACACACACACACACACAGAGAAGGTACATCTGTGCATACAGTTTTCTGTAGCCTCTGCTTCTGTATTTGTCATTTTCTTTAACTTTGAAAGATTTTGTATTCTTTTGGATTTGTTCAGTATTTAACCACATAGCTGATTTTTACTGGTAGAGTTCTTCACCAGGAGTTTCCACCACTGATATAATTGTAAATCTGGTCAGAAAATATACACACACTTGCACACACTTCCTGTTATGTGCTCAGCACTGGGTAAAAGTTTATGTGTATGTCAACATGCTGTATATGTGTGTATTTTTGTGTATTTTATATGTATATATTTTATTATGGTATCAAGAAAAAAGGGGATTTTAGAATTTTAATTCATAATTCACTATAATGATGTCTTTCCAATGTTATCTAACAGTAAAATATTTTTGAAATTAACATAGCAAGATTGTCTAAGAATTAATTTTAAAATTAATGCTAAAATAACATTCATGATTAAATTTAGTAAAAGTGCAGATTGGCTTAGAAATCCTAATATGTTTCTTTAAAGTGTTCTTTGAAACCCTGCTCACTCTAACTTATGTTGAAGACATTTTTAAAAGCCGCAGCTGCCTTACATTTTATTTGTAAATATCCTGTGTAGACTTGTGGTATATCTTGTCTCCTCAAGAAAATGTGAGTTCCTTGATGGCAGGGCCTCATTTTATTTCTATCTGTGTATCTGTCAGTTCTTAGCACAGTGCCTGACACAAAGGAAATGCTTGTTGAGTTAATGGTAACTGTATGGCCATAGACATATCTTAGTTCTCCAGGTGCTGCTGTCTCTCAGCGCTGGGAGCTCCATACCATGAGTTCTTGTACTGATGAAATCACAGGTCTATTCCTTCATCCCCAAAAAGACTATGATGTGCTTGCCTAGAAACCAAGAAAATGTTGTTGTTCATATAGTAATATCTCAATGAAGTAATTATAGTGTTCTAATTTCTAACAGGATTTTCATCTGTGAAACAGAAGCTCCCATAAAAACAGTTTTCTTCAAATTGCTGGCTTATATTAATGATATGACTATTTTTTCTTTCTTTTTTTTTCTTTTTTTTTTTCCTTTGGAATTTAATAGCCAAAATGAAAGGGAAGAGTTTGAAAGTGAATTTAAACAAAAATATGAACGAGAAAAGATTCTGTTGACTGAAGAAAATAAAAAACTCTCAAATGAGCTTGATAAGGTGAGTGATTCAATTCAACAAATATTTGCTGTTGCTATTTGTCCTTCCTTCTCCAAGAGGAACATGACATCAGGGAGGTGATGCCATAACATACAAATGAATTGGATTTAAATGAAGGAGGGCTGTGCAAAGTCACCAGCCTCACTTTCTCCGCTGGAGACATCTGGGTCCAATGGCCAGATATGGATCAGGACAACCGGAGATGGCCCACAATACAGTGGAGGACGTTGGCCTTTTCAAACTAAGGTCTTTAAGAGGTTTCAGTTTGATTGAGGCAGCACCCATTCAGTGATTAAGGCTTAATAGAATGAGGCAAAAAATTGCCTCTTAAAAAAAATAGATCTGGGAGGGGAATATCCTTAGAGTTGCTGGCTGAAACAGAAACAATTGTTATTTACATTCATTCTGAGCCAGTCAGGGCCCAAACAGAGACCAAGTAGGGCTTGATCTGGGACTAAAGTGATTTGGAGTAGGCTGGTCTTTAAGAGAAAAAAACAAAACAAAACAAAATTTCAGAGATTAAAAATTACATTCCCTTTGATCAGAGCACCGGTAGATAAAAGTCATGCTGAGTATAGATTTGTTAGGCATCCTTTTTTTTTTTTTTTAAGGAAAGCTTTCCCTTTCAGGGCCAAATTATTTCCTTGGAATAGACAGTCTCCCCCATATCAGAAACAGTTCAAGGATGTAAGATATTTTTATATTTCTTTATCCCTTCCAGTTTTTTACTGTTTTATACATTCTCTCATTTCTCTTCTTTCCATTTTGTTTCATACAACCTCATTTTCTTCTGGGTAGAACTAAAACACTTGAGCAAGAGTAGATTTTTGCAGAGACAGCCTTGATGAATCATGGAGATGTAAAGGTAGGATCTTGGGGAAATCTTTGAAAGTGATCCAAGCCTATGAAATAAACCAGCAGCTATTTGGTGGGATTTTTTACATTTAGTTCATCATCAGGTAGTATTAGTATACTTTTTAGGTTTTAGACACGTCACTCTGAAATTGAACAGAAATTTTTGCAACTAGGCCCCAATGAATGCAAAATATGAATCCCATAAATTGGGATAATGAATAATGAATCACATGTATTCAAATTTGTGATATATAAAATTATAATTATGTGAGTTTGGATTCCTCTTAATGGAAATATGCAGTATAAATCCTAGTAATGCAATAATTTCATTGAATTTATTATTTGTAGTAATTGGGACTTAACTGTGTAGTGCTAGCTGCATACTGCTAAAATTTTAATAAGGAAAGATTGTATTTTGACCTGTGTAATAAGAAACTTTTTTTTACATGCTGTATGGCTTTCAGTTCTCTACTTTCAAACATCGTGACTAATTTAATTCACGAAACAGTTATAAGTGCCTACTGTGCAAAATACTTAGCAAACAACTATGATGTTATCAAAGAATTTAGTTTAGCAGTCTAAACAGGCTCATTTCCATTTTTGTTCCATGTACTTTCTCTTCTCCCACATTTACTTCTTTTGACTATTTAATTTTCCAAACTTTATAAAACATTACCTGGCTTGTTTTACTGAAAATAACTTGAGAAGAAATATTAGTATATATGGTAACGTCCTACGCACCTAAACCACATAGTATTTTTAAAGGTAACAAAGTCTCAAGCAATGCCTTAAATAAATTTAAAATTAAACAATTTATGTGAATTTTAAAACTTTTTAGAAGCAGACCTTGCAGTTTTTAAGCAAATGTAAGACTAGTAGTTTAACTAGATTAAAAAAAAACCTAGTTTCTCTTTCAGTTAGTTAACGTGTAGTTAACCTGTTAATCACCACAGAGTTAGAGATTTGTCTTATAAGTGCAAGAGTTACATTGAGATCAGAAATTACACATTACAAGATGATTTCACTTGGAATCACTGTGGTGTAATTAGAGAGTGAAGAGAAACAATCTGAAGTGATATGATGTGTTTTTAGTAAAATTAAGAAGAAAACTGGTCAATTCCCCAGTTGAGTTAACAGCCAGTTATTCCGTGTCATTCCTAGTTTTTACATTATTGCTAGCTCTATGTGAAATAAATATCTGATGCTAACATCTTAAATGATCCTCTAAATAAAAAAATCATAGGTCAAAACAAGGCCTGGTCACAAAGGTTGGAGAAAAAGGACTAGATTTCTTTTCCTCTTTGGGCATTGGTACTGGTCCATTTCTCCTTGTACTGCTTTTTGGATTGTTTCTGCTATTCTGCCTCAGCTCTAGTTTCTTTGTGTTTTGCTTCCTTTCTACTTTTAATTTAAGAAGGTTTTAATTTGCCTCTTTCTTAAAAAAGCTAGAAAAATGATTTTCCTGAAGGGCAGTTGTCTGATTATGTCATTCCTTTCTTCAGTAAATCCAGTGGTTCTCTTTGGCCTCTAGGACAAAATTTAAATTCCTCTTTTTGGCATTTAAAGTCATTCAACACCTGACTGGCTCCATTCTGCCTTCCTAGCCTGGTTGCTCTTTGTGCCTGTTTACACACTGAGATCCTGGGGGGGCGTGGCCCTCTGACTGCTGTACATCCTCCCACCTTTATGCCTCCTCTTCCTCCCCACTTTGCCCCTTCAACCTCCTCATTTCCTTCAGAAGCAGCTCAAGTGCACTGTTCTTGATGACACCTTTCCTGATCCTTCTAGCTGCTGTCAGCCTCCCTCACTCATACCTTTTGTCTAGTTACATACCCCTATATATGTCCATGTTGTCTCCTCAACTTAAGTTTTTTAAGGGCAGGGATTGTTTCATTTTGGTCTTTGTGTACCTAGCTCCTAGCACCCAGTTTTTGGCACATAGTCAACAATAATAAATGCATGTTGATTGATTTTTGGGGAGCATCCAGACTTCTTACTGTTGTCCTTTATTATTACCCTATCTTCTTTCAGCAGCAGAAGTCTTTTTTTTTCATTTTTCTTTTATTCGCTAGCATAGAATCCCCCCAAAAGTTCTTTTCCTTAACATTCATCACCATCTAATTTTGAGCTTTAACTCTCCTGACATTGTCCTTACCAAACTGTTATTTTTAAATTCTTTCCACTTATTATACATGTCTTAAAATTTTGAGTTAATTGATGAGTTCTATTTACATAGTCATATTGTTCTCTTTGAACAAATCCATACTTTTTCCTCTTAAGAATAATTTCTTCTTCTTTATTTTCTTTAAAGTTTTATCAGTGCTTTGTTTTTACACTAGTCATTTCTATTTGTTATAACAGGAACACTACAATTTAACAAAGAAAAATAGCCTTACAACCTGTGTGACATTCTACACCTTCTACTTCTGTTTCTGCCATTCTTTACATTGTGTGTGTGTGTGTGTGTGTGTGTGTGTGTGTGTGTGTGTGTGTGTGTGTGTGTGTCAGGGGGAGTTATCCTTTTGATTTTCTTTGATGTTTGTTACATATACCATGGAGATTTACAGTGTGGTTGCTGGTCAGAACTATAGCCTGTGCCCCACATTGCTTCATATATCGTACTGTGTGTGATTCTTACTGAAAAAAACTTTGTGCTGGTATATGGGTAGAAGAAGAAAACCTAGATTCCTTCTCAGTCATTTAAGACAAGGCATCTTGGTAGTTGTAGACTTTATTTTTACATGGTAGAAAGAAAGATTCTAGACTGTAAGTTCTACATACATTATTTCAAAAATTCTTACCTATTTTATTTATTAACTCTTCTTCTTTCAGTTCTGCTTTCTACTAATTGAACCAAAACAAAAAACCTTTTAACAAATATACATAGTTCAGCAAACAAAATTCCACAATGGCTATGTATAAAACTTTGTATGTCTCATTTTGCCTTTTAAAATTCCTTCACCTAAAAGTGTTGCTTTCATTTTTTGTGATGCATTGTGAATTTCATTACATAATTATATAAGGGATATCCTTTATTTCAAAATGCTTTCTTTTGAATGGGCAGTTTATATATGATTTTGCAGAAGACAAGATTAAAATATAAATGTTTCTGAAATATGCTTGATATAGAATATATGATAAAGACAACAAATGAATGGCATATCTAATAAAAATGGTGGTTTGCTCCAACTCCTAAAAAAAAATTCCATCACTTTTCTGGCAAGAATAAATACGTTATCAGTAGACCTGGTTCATGTTTTTAAAAAGCAAGAAGTGAAAAAGAAATAGATAAAATACTGAATAAAGTTTTTAGAGGAGAGGAGTTTTTCTTTATAATGAATATTAGCTACAAATTGAATAAATCATATTCCTTTAAAATGAGAGCAAATGAATTTTTTAAGGAAAAATACACTTTTGTATCTTGACTTATTTTTCCAAAGTTGCAAAAATGTGTATGTTGGGAATGTAGATTAAGAAACATTCAAACAAAATGGGCAATTGAAAGAAGGCTGATAGTGAAAATGTTAACTCTTCTCTGATTTAAATAGAATAAACAAGGTCTTTTAGAAGGGATGGTATAGTTTGAAAACTTTGGTGTGAAAGCTTTAAAAAGCGGTGAATACTTAACAGGATAGGCTAAACATCACCTCTTCATAGACTACTTTATCTTCAAATTAACAGGTTTTAATGCATGTTTGAGTTGCAAATTTCTGCCCATATATAATTATGTTTACTTATTTGTACACAGGAAAATCTTAATGAGTACAAAAATCATGTTGCCTTTTTGAACATGAAGTGATTGGTTAACTCCATTTGGCCATATCTCAGCAATATATTAAGGTCCCCCTCTCAAAACTGTAGCTCTTCCTAATGTTCTTTTTTGAATGAATTATGCTTTTATCAGTAATTGTAGCATTCTGAAAGCGTCTAGTAGCTCATAAATTTTCACACATATCCTTTATGATTTTTGAAGGTTTTTTTTATATTCAAGACACAAACTTATTCACTCAGGCAGTAGTGTCTGTCTTTTTGAGGAGCTAGAAAAGAAGTCTTTTGAAAAGTAACATTATTAAAACAAAGCAGATTTGAAGGTGACAATAATCTCAAGAACTCAATTTGGGAGTAAAATTGTGAAAACAGATTTTCTAATGAATTTTGATGTGTTATTTCAAGGTAGTTTCCAGGTAATTCAATCATTTTCTTAGTGTAAGTCAAAAAATTGACAGACTGTCTCAGTGAGTAATTCAAATTACAGCTTCATGTCTTAAAATGTCTTTTCAGCTCACTGCTATGTTTGAGAGATTAAGTATAAATAACCGACAACTAGAAGAAGAGATGAGAGATCTAGCAGACAAAAAGGAATCGGTTGCACATTGGGAGGCCCAAATCACAGAAATTATTCAGTGGTGAGTACTCCAATTTTAAATATGTCCTATTTAGAGAATTTGGTCATTGGGCAGATTGTTTCAATTACCAGGATATTGCCAGTAATGTCTTTAGCTTGTTTTAATTGTCAAAAAGATTTTCCGTCCCATATTTCCACTGGGAAGGAAAAGAAAATGTTTACCCCAGAAACGCAGGCTTTACTAGTATTCATTCATTTTTGCACCATTGTGTGATTTGTGTGGATAGGGCCAGGAAATTCCTTTATTTCCCCCTTTGTTCTCCCACCTTGGCCACATTTCCGCCACCAGGTTTCCCACAATTCACTTGAAAGCTACTCTTTCTCTGTAAGAACAAAGTTAACTACCATTTTGTTGTATAGGTTAGACTTTCTAGGACTTAAGAAATACATCAATAAGATTTAGTCACCCCTAAGATCAAAAGTTAAGTTTGTCATGGCTTTAAGGAACAAAAAGCCTACAGAAAGAAGTAGCTGAAGAGAATATATCACTTTATTCTTTTATTATAATATTGTGTTACCTGTAATTTTTTTTAACTTTAGGTATGGTTTTATCAGTTCTCAATATTTGGTAGGTGGGTAGTAATTTAAATCAACTTAAGTTTAAAGTTAACGTATTATTAAATTACCAATCCTGGTGCTTTTACTAATTTTTCTGTTGTTGTAAAACATAGGGGAAAACAACTGGACATTTACTCTCTTAATAAAAATGCATAAATCTTCTCCCCTTCCTCCCTACCATCTTTTTCCCCATTGTCTTAATGCTGAATTTGTCTAAAAACCACTTATTTCTAAATGTTTTTATAGACCAATTACTTTGGGAATTTATTCTCAGTTACTGACCTTTTGATTCTTTAAACTATGTTTTTCATTTATCTTTTCTTCTACCAACTGAGGAGTCTCATTTTAAAATTCAAATAAAAAGTGAGTAAACAAATGGTATCTTTTTAAGGAAGCTTAGTTGAATTGATAGTATTTTGATATCTATTTAAATGCAAAGCACATATCTAAACAAAGGAGTGGGCTTATGAATGTGAAATTTTGGATGAGTTCTATATAGTGCAGCTAACAGTTCATAAACCTACACAATTCATATACTTGTCCAGAGAATATAATTTTTAACAGCAACCAAGGTTACAATGTTAAGGTATCTAGTCAACTTAGTTTTTCTTTTGAAGAAATTATAATAGGATTTTGAATGCTAAACACACCATGAGTTTGATCACAATCTTCTTCCTTTCCTGTAGCTACCACAGTGGGCAGGGGCAGGAGAGAAAGGGTATTCAAGACAGAAGGAAGCTTGGGTAAAATCATTGTAAAAATTTATAGAAGGAAAATGAAAATTGTGTGTGTATTTGCTATCACACATTAATGATTCTAATCTTCCAGTGTTATTTAGGAAAGATTGGACAATAATGCACTGAAAATCAGCAATGCAAGGAAATCACTTGACATGGAAGTGACTGTTTAAAGATTGACTAGTCAAGGGACGGCTAGGTGGCTCAGAGGATACAGCGTTGGCCCTGAAGTCAAACACTTGACACTTACCAGCTGTGTCACCCTGGGCGAGTCACTTAATCCCAATTGCTTTAAAAAAGAATTAACTAGTCAGTTAGTCCTCATGTATTTTTAATATGCTTGCTATATGTAAAGGAGTATAAAATGCACTTGCCCTCATGAAGTTTACAGCCTAGTTGTAGAGGTAAGACACGTGATAATCATAATACCAGCTCACATTTGTATAGTGCTTTAGGGTTTACAAAGTTTTTTCTCAAAATCTTGGGATTAAGTAGTGAAGTGTTATTACTCCCCATAATAACACAGGAAGAAATTGTGAAACAACAGGTTAAGCAACCTGGCCTGGCGTAGTATAGTGTTAAGTGTCAGCTCTGGGAATTGGACCTGAGTCATGCAATCTAAGTTCAATGTTCCACTCTTCCACACTACTTCTCAACAGATTAAAAAAAAATCAAACAATGTGGATTCTATAAGTACTTCCAAAACACATATATCCATTTTATAGCTTTTAGATCAAATAATTCTGAGGGGGAATGTCAGGCCCTGAAGCTGACATATACATGGTGACAGTATTAGTAGAGAAGCCTTATCAAGTACATGGTATCTGATGAATCTGAGAGCACAGTTTATTATGGGCTTCTCCCAAATTGTGTCCCTTTTACTATACACAGTGCCAGCCAAACCCCAGACCTTCTGATAAAAACACAGATTTTGTTCACTCTCTGACTGCCCTTTCATGTTGCATAAACATGAATCATAAAAATCATTGCAGCCAAACTGTCTTACCCTCATCTGATCACTACCTGGTCACAGACTAGTAAGGGACAAATCTCATGTTGTTGTTCATCCTTTGTTTTCAGAGGACTAGTGACATCACAGGTGATGTCTTCACTTGCATATAAATTGGATTTAAGTGAGGTAGAGTTGCACAAAGTCTCTCTCTACCTGAGTCATCAAAGACCAGTGGCAGGACAAAAGTCAAGATGACTGGCAATAGTCCAGAATGCAGTGGATGATCTTGGAGTCTTTGATGTCTGACCAAGCTTTAAGTGTGCCACAGTACCTGCTTCAGCCACCTTCATGGCCATTGGGGTATATGGGGTGTATAGAGAGAACTAGTGCCTCTAGCGTTAGGGCTTTCAGAGCCTTTTACAGGGCTGTCCATTCATCTTAGATATCCACCTGTTACCCAACTCTCACCTGTGGCCCCGAGAAGATTTAGTGTGTGAAGTAGCCATCTCATACACCAGGAATGCTGTTTGCGTTGTTTTATATTCTTTCTTGTTTTGGTTGAACACAGCCATAGGCATTAAGATGGTAGTGCCTGAGTTTTCATCCAGTGAAAGGCTCCATCTGCTACTTTTCTTTCAAGGTCTACTGCCTTGCCCATATACTGAGAATGAGGACCCTTATCTCTGACTGGGGTACTCTTGTGCTCAGAGTTTGGTTGTGTCAGTGAGCTTGGGACAGGAACCCACATGTTCCAAGTAGGAACTCATAACACATTTTCTTACATAAACAGTTTTACAGATAGTGAATGGTTACCAGTCTAGGCAAAAACTAAACTAAACTAAACTAAATTCAACAAATAATCGATTGGACTCTGCTCTGTATGAGGAGGCTTTGTGGTTGGCTCAGTGTATCCTATTTTCAAGGACCTTACTTTCTATTTGAATATATGACATCCTTATCATCACTAGCACTTTTATACTGATTTAAAATTTGCAAAGCACTGTATACATGTTATCTCATTTGATCCTCACGGTAATCCTGGGAGGTAGGTGCCATTATTATCCCCATTTTATAGAAGAGGAATCTGAGACAGAGAGAAGATAGATGATTGCTCAAGAATACAGAGCTAGTGTCTTCCTGACTCCAATTTCAGCACTCTTACCCACCTAGCTGTCTTTCATAAATTCTTGAAAAGTTAATGAGCAACAGTATATCATAATGGATTGTATATTATACTTGGAGTCAGGCAGACCTGGATTTAAATCCCACCTCTGGCACTGTACTAGCTCTGCGACCTCTTATCCTGTCTGAGCCTTCGTTTCTTTTTCTGTAAGATAAGTAATAACACCTATTTGCTACATTGCAGGGTTATATAAAATATTATGTAGGTATCTCATGGTTCAAAACCCCAAGCTCTAGAGTTGCATTATTGTGTTTTAGAGAGCTTCTCTAAGCTATCTCATTTTGCCCTAATACTGAGTTTCCTTTGAAAACCTCAGAATATAATTTTGTGTGTGGATCTCCGCTGATGTGGGTAAAAAAGATTCTTTTTCCTGTGTAAGCACTCAGGATAACAATTCACAAAAGGCACAGAACAACCTTTATTTCACCCCACAGAAAATGCAAAGCCACACAAAGGACTCACTCTAACAAAAACAGTTGATAAAACTTCTTCTCCCTTAACAGTGAGTCCCACTTTCCAACTAGGGGACCTTCATAGACTTCAACCCTATAGTACTATTCTTAAGATTTGGACTAGTCCCAGACAGAAAACGAACTTGAGATTGCTAAAGAAGCAAATCACCCAATGATAAACCTAAGCCATTCAGGTAACTTATCTACTCAGTTCTTTTTTAAGAGGTTAATGTTGTCCAGGAATGACACCTTCCTTTCTGTGCATGCTGGTTACAAAAACTAGGGGTCTGGAAAATCTTCCCCTTCTTGTTTCTAGTAGACTGGGGCATGTGACTCTTCAGGGACACCTGGTTTAGAGCATATATAACTGCATCACACTTCTGCCCTTAACTTTTTAGTGTTACCATTAGCAGTTCTGGTTGGGAGTCTGCAAATAACTAGGCTTTTCCTCCTCCATTATCACCTCAGATACATTCTTAGTTCTGTTGAAGGTTTTTCTCTTTCTTCTTTTCTGACTCTCAGCTCAGACTTCCCTATTCTTTTTTATAGTCATAGTATAAATGCCAGAATGGGCTGGGGTGGGGGGTGGGGGGCCAGATTGCTGAGCCTGGTGTCGGGGAAGACTCATCTCCAGAGTTCAAATCTGGCCTCAGGCACCTGTGTGACCCTGGACAAGTCACTTAACTTTATTTGCTTCAGTTTCCTCAATGTGTAAAATGATCTGGAGAAGAAAATGGCAAACTACTCCAGTGTCTTTGCCAAGAAAACCCCAGATTGGGTCATGAAGAGTCAGACATGACTGAAATGAGTAGACAACAACATAGAAGTCAGAAGCTCATATCCACAGTAGCCTGAACCAATCAGATTATTCCCAGATTAGGAGACTTATTCTTATATTTTGAATGAGTTAACAAATTGCCAAGCCCAAGAGAAGTACTCTGCCATCTCAAAGCAATGTCTGTGGAACTTTATACATCTTTCATTGGGAGATGCATTCAAAATCTCAAAGGCCACCTATCTGTAACCTGGTCACATTGATCTCATCTGTGTAGAAAAATAACTTTTAAAGTCCAGAGAATGTGACACATTTGTCCACAAACCCTATAGTACCAACAACAT